TCTCTCTCTACATTTAACATTGCATGGTTTAAAAATCGCAATTTAAAGGTAGCCTTGAAAGGACCAATCAATAAGCCTATTGTATAAAGAAGGTATAAGATGATTATGGATTAGTCAGGATCTTAATATAATTACTCTGGCCTGGTTATAAGTCTAGATAGAAGGAAAAATAACTATGCCTATTGTTTCAGTATTACAATTATTTCAAAGACAATATTCAAAATCTTAATTTAAACTCAAATAACTGTTGGTTGTAAAATAAATTATATCTGATAAACCTACGTTTATAGCAAGCACAATTTTGGCAATGTAAATTTGAGTATGTATCAAGTAAATTGGATACCTTTTTAAATAATCAACTTTAGAATATATACTATATGGAAAACTATGTTATATGGAAAGATAATCTTGTATATCTTGAATAATAAAAGGTAAATAATTTTAATCTTGCTTTGATTTACTACAAAATGGGTATTCATTTACAAATTACAATATCTGACCTACTTTGCCTGTGCTCAGAAACCTAAGCAAGGTTGAATCTAACTAGTATGCAGATAGAAAACCAGAAATACATTTCAAGTGCGTAGGACTGATTAGGTAGTCTGAAAAACATCTTAGAATAAGATGACAAGCCACTTTCATTCTACATCAAGAAACAGGAGTTGAGTGTTTACCTTAAAAAAAGTCAACAGCACCAATAAACAGATGATTTCTTGGGACATAAATGAGTTCTAAGAAGTGCTGTCTGAAACAGAACAGAGGATAGGTGGAAGACACTTTGTGGAAGGTCTGAAAATGTAATGCTTTGATAGAAAAAGCCCTGAGAAACCCTATTTGCATTGCTTTGAATTTAATCAAAGAAAGTCAGCATATACATAAATTAAACAATCTAATTTGGAATATAATGCAATTCCATGGATGAGCTGATCCATGGAATAAGAGCTGTGAACAGAGAATACTGCTCCTACAATAAATTTGAATAAATTGATTAAAACAAAGAGTAATTTCTCTTGTAAAGAATACCTAGAGTCCCTGTACTGTAAACATTAGCATTTAATTCAAGTGGAGCCATAGTATACAAACATACATCAACTTTAGTCAATATATCTTATTTTAGAATATATTCCACATCTGAATAAAAAGTTTAAATAATCTTCAATACATGTACAATAATGGAACCCTATCTTTCCAGTGAAATGAGTGCACATTAAGTAATTGGTTTTACTCTCCACTGATATAGGTGGACATTAACTGGCTCTATCCACTGCAAAAATAATTTACGTCGCATACTTGCAGTTTCATCTCAACCAATTCTATGCAATATGGAAAGATAAGTGTTGAATCTAAAGATGAATAATAACTGTTCACCCTGTATATTTAAAAACATATTTAACTAGTGTTAATATAATTTTTGTGTGTTATTAAAAAGATGTCTACAATTCTGAAAGCATGCAGAGAATTCATAGGTTCTTACATATATCCACACATATATTTGTTACAAAATTAGTGCAAAATCAGGAAAGAAGTGATACAATCATCTTTACAATTGCCACCACCACATGCACTTGTGCAGTTTCCCAAGAATTACAACAAACTCTTTCAGTAATTAGCCATGGCCATTATACATCATTCTGAGTCCTCAGAATCTGGAAACTTTATACTTGGCTGCCTAATTATGCCTGCTAGTTGAGGCAGAAATTTATCACTCCGCCTCCCTAAAAGGTTATAGTAGTCAACAGTAAAATTCTAAAATAAAAAGTCCCTTTCACTTTATCTTTGTATTCTTGTCTCCAAGACACAAAATTTTATACTGCACCCTAAGCTTACTACTTGATATACTCCAATTTTTAAATCCCCCTTTCTCTCTCTCTCTCTCTCACACACACACACTATTCTTGCTTGCATTCCTCCTTAGCCCTTTCCAAATACCTATTTCCCCTATTTCTGTTTTTTTTTTTCTCACCAGAACAGGCAGGCAGTGCTTTCCCCCTCCCTGATTCAGTGCCCCCAGTTGTTGACTCCAATCTCCTGCTTGTAGCGGTTGGTAAGTACATTGGCCTTGCGGGTAAGTTTGGAGAGCACAGTGTGAAGCCCACTCAGGTGATAATGAAATTGCTTCTCTAAATCCTCCTCCACCTCCTCATCTTCAGGGATTCCTCGGCTTATGTCCATGGCACCAGAGCTCCCATTCAGCTTATCCTTCTTCCTTCCAGTGGTTTCCTCATTTGCCTGTTGTAATACACCCCATTCAATGTCATTGCGAATGGATTTGAGCAACATATAGTGACTATACATATCTCTACAAGAACAATAGGTACTGCCATTGGGGGTCAACTGGGGCTCCGTTTCTCCACAACCACCCCCTGAATCCAGTTCATCCAGCATGAGAGGCACATCCCGAAGAAGACTGGGCACCATCACTGTTTGGTCCATGTTGTTAACAGCTCCAATGAAGCGATTCATTGCATTGAAGAGGGAATGTTTTTGGCTGTAAGAGTCACAGATCTGCATCATCTTGATTGCTGGGTAAGGTGCACTGTGAGCAAGCAAATTGTTCAACTGTGATGGAAGCAGGAGAGAAGTGCCTTAAGAGAGCTCAAGCTGTTAAGATGCAATCAGTGAGAAAAACTGCTGCCAAGCAGATAAGTTTATTTTCCAAAAAGAAAACCCACTACTGTTTTCCTTTTCTGTAAATATTCTCCCAAGGATTCAGTGATATTTCTCCAATTTTCTTTCTCAAATATTAGGTACAGTGCAGGTTCAGCGTAAGAAAGCCTCTGCGGCAAGGAGTGGCTGTAAAAGAGAACAAAAGATGGCGATTGAGACCAGTTTGTGTCTTGCCCCAAACCCATGCCACATCAACTCTGGCTGCCTGCTCACTGGTTTGAGCCCTTGCCTTTCATCAAATGCCTTGCTCTTTTAAAATTCACAGCTTTCTTCATAGTGCTCCTTGTCCAATTTTTATATTATTGTATCTATGTCTAAAATAAACTATTGGAGTTTTTTTAAAAAAAAAACCTTTTCATCCCGATCTTCATGTACCATTAATGCAATTCCCTCCCCACAGCTTCCCGAATTAAATTGAGCACATTTCTGTAAATACACCGTTAAAGGAAAGCACTTCTAAGCATAACCAAAGCACCGAAATAACCATTGCTGCCATCTCTGTACACGCAGGAACAAGCAGCAGAACCGGGTATTTTTCCCCCCGTAGACATTTCGCCATGTCACCTCCTACTCCACACTGCTCCAACGCTAGCCCTGTTGTTAACGAGAAGGCAGCGCATTATCTCGCTCTCCTTCGTTTAATGGGAAAATGCGTATATAGCCACACAGACGCGCATCTTTAACAGCGCCTTTGGACTGCCAGCTCCACCCAAAGAGTAGACTCCCGGTTTGGCTCGCATCTGCTTTCCTCCCGTGCAAATGAAACTTCCTTCAATGCAAAAGGTGTGGGGGGATCGGAAGTAACTCTTCTGCCAATCCCAAATGTATTCCTCACAAGCCGAGAGAAAACCCAGGCTTCTACTTCAAAGAATCGCCTCGCCGCCCTTTCCATTCAAAGCAGCAAACGGAAGGCAGCCGAAGAACCGAAATAAGCGCGCTGCCATTCCTGCAAGCTTCAAGAGCTGCCCTACCTAAGGCGATTAACCGGCTCCGCGTGCGTCCTGGTGCCCTCCGCAGTCTTTCGCTCCGTCTCGATCGTAGAGCAGTATTTATAGCCCGAATGTTAAAATAAGGTGTTTCCAAGGGCCACCCACTTGCAGCGAAGCAAGGCAAGGGAAAAGAGAGAGAGGTTTATCTGGGCTTTCCAAGTGACCACATGTAATACCGGATTCTGCTAGCAGGATCGACACGCAGCTCCGCCTCTTCACCAACATCCACACAGGAGGGCCCTATGCGCACTGGTAGATTGGGGGAGGGGAAGTTGTCAAATAGAGGCTCTCACCCGACTATGTGAACCAAGGAAAATCTTTGCAACATCCCCCAAAGCAGGAGTTCCTTTGCTCGTCCTTAGATTCGCAGACTGCCATGGAGGAGTAAATAGAACAAACATGACTAGGTTTCCTCTCCTTTTACAACCCCGCGCAAGGGAGCACCAAGAACTCAATTTTCTTCTATTCCCCCCCTCCAATCCAGAGTAGCAATTTAAAAAAAAAAACACGTAATTGAAAACAGCCTCCCAAAAGCTGTGGGGTCGTTGCCAAAAAGCACTCAAAACGACCCAAAATGTTGACAACTGTTAAAGGCGGTTGCCTTAAAATAGAGCAAACAGCAGGACAAATTCCGTAGCAATAGAAGGCGGAACTTTTTCTTTCCCCACTAAAAGCTTCCCCAATCTACCTTTTTCTTGTTCAAAGATTTGAGGAGCGCACCATGTTTGCAGTGGTCTCTTACAGACTTCAGACCCAAAGCTTCTGTTAGGGCCAGTCTTAACAGCTTCTCTAACCCCAAAAAATAAAAAAATGCTGAGCCTGTAGTGAGTGACCGATTAATCACACCTGGCTCTTATATAGTGCTAAAGAGCATTGCTGCCTTGAAATTCTGTTTACGTGAAAGGAGCCCATGAATTCCCCCACGAATAATTTCTAGTCTGTAAAAAAAATGTTCTCTAGGCGTGAGGTCATTCCTCTTTCTTCAGGTTCATCTTCAAATAAAACAGGCAGATGTCTGCGGGACTACAATATTTTAAATAAAATGCAACTCTTCTAGGGGATGGCCTAGCCTTACCTGGTAGTAGTTTCCCAAAGCAATTGGCTTCCCGGCGTTTTTTTATCCCGCAGGGGGGGAAATTAGAATCTGAGTACGAAAAACTCGGGACCAAACTCCCAAGATACGGCCTTAAATGTTTTGAGTGTATTAAATTGCTTTTAGGCAGATTATCTACGGTCAAAAATATCGAGTGGAGCTAGCTTCCGTAGATGAAAAACACGTGTATAATTATTCCCTTCGCGAGGGGCATATTATATTCAAGTTCGAATAATAGACATCGGATGGGAGAAGAGTGCATATTTTAAGTATGCATTGCTTTACTGGAGAATAAATCTTGTGTCCGTTGGACGTTTTACTCCAATTAAATGTGCCTTAAAAATTAGAATTATTTTTCAAGTTTATAGATATTCTAGAGACAAGGATTCCGATTGTTTTTTTTCCTTTACAATTCTTTCACCTTATTACACCCGAACTGCCCAGGTTTTAGTAACGCATTTAAAAAATATTCCACATCAATTTAACCAGATGAATGAATGAGATATGCGTTATCGGTAATAGCAAGTGGTGGCTAGGTTGTTTGTGTCGAGGACTATTTCGAAGGTCAAAACTATTTGCTCGATTCCTATCACTAGCAGGTTGCTGGCAATAAAAGCATTCAATTGCTTTTCACGCCTCGGATGCGTGAACCACGACTCTTACCGTTGCAGACGTTTTATTTCCGCGAGCAGACCACAACGGAGCTGTCTGCAAGTGAACGTCTACAACTTTTCCCCCTTCCGCCACCCAGAATGGAAAAATAAAAGATTATAAAGCCGCGAGAAGACCGGGTTGACGCGCGATACTTTTCCAGGCAAAAGAGGTCACGCGCACGCATAAAACCTCCGCGTGCTGCCTCCCGGAGCTGAGCCTCGTCAATGACCGACAGTTAAGGCCTGCCGGGATCACCCCACAGCCTCACCTCCAGCTTCAGCCAATCACCGTGCGTGCTGCTAGTCAGACTTGTCCGGATATGCTAATAAATTTCGGCAATGCCCGATCACAAATAGCACTTCCTGTCTCTTTCTGCTCCAGCGCCCGTGGCAACAAAGGAGTGGCAGCTGAAAAGAGCAGCGTGAAGATCTCGTGGCAGGGAGGGAGAACGGGAGCGAGTGTGTTGCCATGACAACCTATCAACGACAATAAGCCAAGGCCTTGGGGACATAATGACTCTGTTTTTTGCATAGTTTATGCCGTTTTCTCTGAAAAACAGGCTCTTGAAGCCTTGCATCATGTTGCACCATGTTGCAATCAGGAAAAAAATGACTAGTAGGTTTCTAGAAAAACTCCTCTGACACATTTTTTAAAAAAAATATTACTGCGAATTAAAGTGTACTGTAGGAAAGTGCAAGCTGTCGAATTTACTAGTTGCTTTAGACCCAAGTAGTTAATTGGGAAGTATCCCTGCACAAATCAAATTGAAATGAAAATAAGTGAAAGCTGGCTGTAATTCATTGTTTTATATTTCATTTTTTATCTTGTGAGTATTTTGACTAAATGTATAACTTATTATTTCAATGAGAACTGCCAAAGCTTATTTTAAAAATGAATCCTGTGTTCCTTTCTGTTTGTTGGATTTGGATTTGTTAAAGTCTGCTACTAGTTCATTTTTTTGAAAGTGCCAAGAACATAAAAAAGGTTTAAGGAAAGCTTAATCGATTATATTATTTCCTGAATAATATAAATTTTTAATTTAAATTATACATTAATAAAAGCTTGAGTACATCTTTACAATGAACTAATGGAATTTTAAGAAATCTTTCAAAATGTAAAATATACTGGCAAGGAAAAGATTGTCATCTTAGGGTAATATTTTTTATATTGTCTTTAAAAAAAAGATTACTGTACTAGTGGAACAATTAGAAGCAAAAGCATTCCAATTTGGTAACCTTACCAAGAAGATTGTATGAAAGCAATTACCAGGAGCAAAGACATCTTTACCTTTAATCCAGACAAAAAATAAATTCTTTCTCCTGTCTAAAAATATTTACTATATGTCCACATACTTTTTTTAATCACAGTCTGTATTTCTTCATATAGCTGGGAGAAATAAATGATTTCATTAGCTGCGATCTCATATGAGTATATATAAACTCAAAATGTAGTGACTGAAAAAGATAACCAAGAGCTATTTTGTTTGATTCAATTCCTTATATCCTGTTTTTTTCTCCAAAGGAGCGCAATGCTGAAATGGCATTATATTAAAGGGGTTCTAATAGTTATATACTTCAAAATAAGGAAAAATAGTAAACATAATTTTCTGATCTGAAAAATGGGAACTATTATAATTATGTAGAGATGTTGATGGCCACTTCCTTCTAAAGTTGTCCTACAGAATAGATGAGCTGTGGAAACAGATGCCATACATTTTTGTTAAATTCTTTGACAGAAGAATAACTATGACAATCTTTAATACTTCAAAATAGGAGGTAGTTAGGAAGCTTATATATTAATCGATGAGGAATGCCATTCCTGGAGGCTGAGGGAAGGCAAACACTTTTTCTTACTTACATCTTCGAAATCTTGGTACATCTTATACACCGGTGCCTCTTATAGTCCAAAAAATATGGGATATGAAAGGGTAGAATGACGTTACATTTGTACAGGAGCACATAGCAGTTCCATAACAATGCACAGGAAGCAATCAGAAATAAAAAAGCGATATGAGGATGTAATTGCTATTATGGCGTGCACTCACCAGATTCTCTGCATATTGGGTCAAATCTAGTGTGGTGGACCCCTGCATCTATACATCTGGTTCTTGGTGCCCGTTCTTGTGCTGCTATGATCAGTGTATCAATGTTGTCTTTAGCTCAGCCCTTCCCAGCCACTGATTTCCCAGTGTCTGCCACCTCACCTGTCTGTCAATGGTACATACCATGCAGGGTCTTATCTTGCTATGGCACTTCCTCTGCTTGATCTTCCTTCCACATCTGCTGCTGCCTCAGGCATTCTCTCAGCAGCTCATTTTTCGATGCCATCTTGCTAATGTACTCCCAGATGGTCTGGTTTACATCCAGGCCAGTAACTTTGATAGTCACCAGACAAAAATCTAACAATAATAAATAATAACTGCATTGGAAGATCTACAATAAATACCATTTGTCTGCAAGCAAATACTGGTGGAGTCATAAAATAGACAAAGTAATAGAAAATGAAGAAGCTAAAGTACTCTGGGACTGTAGAATTCAAACAGACAAGCTCCTGTCATAGAACACCCCAGGTTTTATAATTGTTGATATGAAAGAAAGAAAAATCTCTATAATGGATGTGGCAATACTTGGAGACAGCAGAACAGAAGAGAAAGAACTGGAGAAAATAACACAATACAAAGGCCTTCAAATAGAAATAGAATGACACTGACAAATGAAAGCAAAGGTAATACCAATAGTAGTAGGCACCTTGGGTGCAATCCCAAAACAACCGGAGTACCATTTTATTACAATTCAGTTACAAAAGACACCTTTACTCGTAACAGCTTACATCTTGCAATGATACCTTTAATAGCAATAGCAATAGTTAGACTTATATACCGCTTCATAGGGCTTTCAGCCCTCTCTAAGCNAACTTTTTATATTTTAAGAATAATAGAATGATATATGCAATACTATAAGGGTTTAGCACTGTTAAACAGATTAGAACGATGGAATGATGTTGTATGTATGATTTCAATATATAGAATATTTTATTTAAAATGTAGGAATAATAATTGGAGTGGAACTATTGATGCAAAATGATGTTGTATGTATGAATTCAATATTTAGAATATCTTGTTTAAAATTAAGGAATAATAATCACAGTTGAAAAATTGACATATAACAATAATGTACTTGTGTTTAGCTAATGAAAAATTTGTGATTCCATATATAATTGTAAGTGGTGACCATGGAAAGGATGCACAAAATCTTGTAACCAAACGACACGCTATATGAAATGGAAGAAGGTTGTATGTGTTTTATGTTTTTGTTTGTTTGAAAAGAAAAAGAAAAAAAGAAACCAGTCTACACGGTATGTATTTGTTAGCTGTCTGTTTTTGAAGACACAAAAACATCCCCAATCCCATCTGAGTTTGTGTGCT